GTGACATAATAGAGTTTCTCCGGACTAATTCAAAGTTTGTCATTCGGCAATCCTTACCCCGAAGCCTTAAGACAAACCTTCCAGCCCCTTATTGAAATAATACATATAGACCAAAGCAATCAAAAGCGAAGTTGCTGAAGAAATACGATTATTACTAAATCGAATGCCTCTCCAAACCCTTGTTACAACACTCTCGCCCCCTGAGTAGATTCGACTTGTATTCAACGGGTTTTCTTGCCTCATGTCTAACAGTAACCATTGGTTAAGGAAGCTGAACGGCCGTAAAGAAGCAAAGACAACCACGGTGTAACAGCAAAGCCCCTTTTGATATCACATTACTCAGTAACATCTAACGTGCCGCCTGAAGAGCACGTCACCAGAGAGTAGATATCTGACTCTGAAAAGAAAAAGAAACGGTGTATGAAATCAAAATTCTCTCGTGGAAGCATGCATTTACCGTGGTGGTAAAATTACTGCGGCATCTTTATTTTCTCGTGAGTGGGGTGTTGTTAGATTTCAGTACCTCTCGACAGACAAGCCACCTTGCCAACCGTATGCTTGAATAACCTAGGGATTCGATCTGTCGCTTTTTTGCGAGGCAAGGTAAATGCAATGAGACATTTGACACAACGAAAAATCCGAGCTCGGACTGGACAGGGAGACAGACAAATTGGGCTTGTCAGTTTCCATGTCACAATGTTTGCGATTTCAGCATCGCATTCAGCTTCATGTCGCCAGCCGAGTTATTGCCATATCGCCTCGGACCACTATATGGCTCGCGTGAGGAGAATGTGATAATGCTGATTCCGGGTTTATAGAGGTTCTAGTTACAGCCAATCAGACAGGGCTGAGGCGGCGGCGTTGAGAAAGGGAGAAGAGGTCTATGGACGGGCCGCGGAACGCTGACGATCAGATCAGTATCTACATCTACGCAAACAGGCAAATAAAAATTCATCCCTCCGGGTTCGATGGCGAGCCCCTAGCCACCTTTACCTCGCCCCCTTCTCTTCTGAGCGAGACGTTCGAGCACGTTGTCCGCTGGAGAGCCCGTAACGCCTGCGTTTGATAGACCTCGTTGCCAAACAGCACGCGCTCGTTTCGGTTCTTGTCCTGGGGGTGTAGTGCGGTGGCTAGTGCGGTGGCTAGGCGGTGGAAGATCTTGAGAGTGGTCGAGCAATTCCTATCAAGTCTCCAAATCATACAGTCAACCGCACTGTTCTTTAACCCATTTCAGCTCGTTCATCCCACACAGCACCCGCGCCGTTCAATCATGCCGATCCTTCCGGCCGTCTGCATCACCTCCGCGTTGAATGCGAGACAGCGCATGGCTAAGACTAGGCTGGAGGGGAAGGAGGTCCCGGACTTCAATTATAGGCTGCGTGGGCGTACTGCAATGGAGTCATGGAGCGTGCGTGGCTACGAGAAGTTACATAGCCACCTCGTGGCGATAGCCTACTTCTACTTATATAGCAAAACCCATCAGCTTAAGTTAGGACTCTTAGTGTCGAACACCACGATTACTATCTTTATCCAGATTTATCGGCAAATTTTAAGAGCGCTGTATTGCGATCAAGAAAGTCCCCAAGTAATTATTCCAGTCAGTGCACTAGGAAGTGTAGGTTTGGTCTATCTCCTTGTATAAGGGCTATGTGAATGCCCCTATATTGAACCTACCCACATTGTCCGTTTCAATACATAGACTAGCGACGGGATACGCGGCTGCCTTGAGTTGTTCGTGAGAAGTGACCAGTCGTAGTAGGGGACCAATGGAGTGAGCGACGCTGCTCTCCATAGAAGAAAGAAAACCTTTCGTATGCTGGTCGTCGAGGTCACAGATTGGAGGGTTCTCACGGAGATACACATGTTCGTACTACACCCATACCTTCGCTCATATATAAGCAAAGCGAGCCTAACAACTGAATCCACTGCTACAGAAGCAGATGCGTGTATTTTTGCCTGAACTTCGCTTTTGTCGTCTCATGAGGGGCGAATACTTTTAGCTTGATCTTTACCCCTAATCCACGAGGTACTGCAGGGGACCTTCATCTAGCCTCCTGGAAGAATTTTCATCATCATGTATTCAACAGCTCTATTGCGTGATTACGCACCGGCTCCATTCCCAATACATGATTGACTCCGACATAATACTAGAACTTGCACTTCATACACGAGAAAGTCTCAAAGTCCAATCCTCTTATTCGCCAAGTCCCCCTTGCCAGGTGGCTGAGATGGAGGTGTATCCAGCATATTCAAAGAATGATGGTTTTTTTGTATTATGTACCGATAATATCGGATTATTACGTCCAGTCGCTGTCACCCGAGGGGTCCGGCGTTGCTGGTATGGCTTATTCAACACCAACTCTATTTGAGCAAGTATTCGACTCTCGCGGCATCCTCAATCCTCTGGCTACCCTGGGAGTAGTCAATCTAGTCAGGCCCTCGACTATTAACCTCTTCCAAACGCTAGTAAACGAGTGTCCCTCTCATGGCGGATGGTCAGTGTCAGGCTCCTGCTAGGTTTCACTTGGTATAACCCCAAAATGACCCAACCTAGTGGGAGGTGTGATGGTTGCGGCCACATATGAAGTCTATTTAACGAATCCGGTCGGCCAGTATGGACTACGCTACTAACGGGCTGTGCTCTGGGTGTCTTCGCATCCAGGATGTCTTCGTATTCCTTATGTACGAAAAGAACTATGGATATATGGGGCTCAGGTCCTCGATTAGTGACGTCAGAGCAGTAAGGCCACGAGAATATCGTATACCGATCGCTCATTGCGCAAATCCATGATAGAAGCGAGCGTGGGTGAGATGATGGGATGACGGTGCTCTAGTTATAATGCATTGTAAATCGTTATACGTCGGCCATCAAGGTAGACTCGGAATGAAAAAGTGCGAAGGCGTCTCAAAGGACAGAAGTCGGATTCGGTCGAGGTTTCAAGCGCAAGGTTTCGATGAGCCCCAGCGACGATCCGTACTAGACTAAAGCCTAGCGCAATTGTTGATTAAAGTATTAAGTCGTTTTTAATTGTGCGGGTAGGTCGGCCAGAAATTTCTGATTCTCTGGCAATTCCGGGTAAAATTCAGGCTTGTTGTAAGGTTCTTGCGAAGGTCGTTGCATCAGTGGGAATTCTTGGAGAGGGATGGGCTGTCGATTAGGATGCATTGCATTGTGTACGAGAGCGGCGGAGGCTGGATCGTTTATGTTTTGTTGACGTAGCGCTCGTACTATCATTTCGACTTGAGCAGCGGTATGGTATCTGTGTGTGTCTACACAAGCAATCACAAAGAGGACGAATCGAACAATACTATCCCGCCATATTAGTATCGCAACGCAACTAAGTGATTACTCGAACTCACCTGAAGAATGCCACAAAGGATATTGTAGTTATTTTAAGGGGGCGAATGAGTGTCAGTGCATCGCCGTACTGATAATCGTATCCTCCGGGAATCGAGTTCGATAGGAAGATGAGGGCGACTATGTTCCCACCAAGTAGAGCAAGCTCTGTGCCGATATGCCAACCTGGGGGAAGCCCTGGATTCCGCTTCCAGAGAAAGCTGAATGCTAACTCGGCGCCGTCCAGGGCAATGCTAAAAAATGTCTTGGCAGATAGAGTGAGTCTTTATAGTCGAGCAGAAAACTATTGACCTGACGGAATGGCGAGTAACGTACAATAGGAAGAGCAAACCACAAGTCAAGTAGAACATAAACCGCGTAATCGGACCACTCCAAAAGGCGAACACTAACGTCTACAGACACGACGATGATAATGATACTCACGACGAAGCTAATAGATCGCAAGATCAACTTTGTCGCATTCCACGTTCCCTGGTGAGAGGACCAGAAACCACCTTCATGTGCCATCGGAGAACGTGAGAGAAAGCAAACAGATCAAGAAAAAAGCGCTATGGTCGCCGACCAAGAAACTCAAGGCGTATCATGGGCACTTAGTGGAAAGCCCGCGCTGGTAGACAACATTAATCGATTGATCCTGGAAGGGGGATGGGACGAATTGCCGACTGGAGAGTGATACGGAAAATACGGAAGGCTGTCCTGTACAGAGTAAAGTGGAAGGGAAAAGTAGAGCTGGTACAGCCACAGGCCTGCGACTACAGCGGCGCAGCGCGCCAAGCATAAACTGTACCGTAGGCCATCTATTTCTGCAACGACTGTAACCTCAGTGAAAGCGTGACAAGGTTGATTTGAAGGCGCCGAGATCGCCGATTGGATAGAGAACCCTGGTTGACGCGAACCACGCGTGCTTGAATTTGGGATCTTCAGGTCTACCTCCATCATAGTTTCTGAAGACGTTACTTGTAGCCTAGTAGGTATACTAAGGAACGAAACAGGGCGCACTAATGCCGTTTCAGTTATGGTACCCACCAGAAAACATTATTGGCTACGATATTATCATCTTACCAGATCCTCATGTGGCTTAGGGTAGTAACGGCTGACCATGCCTTATCCCCAAGAAAGGAGGGATTATCACTAAAATAATGTCTAGTGGAGGATCAATGGGAGTCCCCACAACCCAAACGCTTACAGGTACAGCATATATACGCATATTATACCGCTGAACTAAAAGTCTTGGCAGTCTAAGCCGACATTGCCGGCGCAAGGCTGTTAGGGCACGATGTCTTGAGTTGCCATGGCATGCAGGGCTAACCTCCTAGAGCGTCTGTCTGGGGACCATACCCTTTTAGAACATTTTATGTCCGTCACCTAGTTATCTCTCATATCATCTGTAGTTATTGTCATGGGGGTGTCCTGCTACATATGATGTCAGCCTTGTAACAGCACAAAGTTTAGTTGCTTTAAATAGTAAGTGAGATTGCAGTAATTCTAATTCCTGCCGTCTCATTCTTGGCTTGCTTACCATAAATGGTTTAGTAGCAACTTTAACAAAGAAAGAGAAATAAGAGCTTTGCTTAACTACAACACACTATACGAGGTGCAGCTATGGTGTAGGGTAAAAATATAAACAAAAAGTAACAATTTAGGGCCTGACCGGGGATTGAACCCGGGACCTCTCGCATTTTTTTGTAGGTAGAGTATACCCAAAGCGAGAATCATACCGCTAGACCATCAGGCCTGACAGAGAGTCAAGGTTGTTGACTAAGCGTGACTACTGATCACATGATGTTGTGGATTCCAGAGACTTATCAAGTATGTTAGAGAAATCGGATATGGTTCCTGCTTTAGCAGAATCTCTGTAATAGGTTCTTCAGCCTAGCGCTTGATGGTTAATATAATATAATAGTGCGAGTGGTTCTATTCCCGGGCTGAGTTGTGGAGATATCATGACTTTTATTTTCTTTGGCAACGATTTTCTATAGAGCTGCCGATAACTCGATCCAATATTGGAAGAAGAAGAAAACCCCCCTCCGAAAAAACCTGTGGAAAACAATAGAGAACCCTCCTACCTCTAGCCTTAAGAAGTGATAAAGTAACTTGGCGTGTACCGAACAATGTAGTTGGTCGATGAATAGCAACCAAATAAAACCGATAAGTATCGAGGATGAATTCAGATTAATCGGGATCAAAACCCGTCGCGGGTCTCTGGAAGAGCTTAAATCCCCAAACTCGTTATCACCCTGGAACAAGTAGGGTAGATATATTTAGGGCGAGTGCGCTAGCGGACGTACTATCGACGAATTATCATCTCAACAAAGAGGAATATGTATAACTATAAAAAAAAAAGTGTTAATGATACAGAAGGCATTGAACATCTGATGCTGGAGGACTATTCCGTGATAAGGGATTATCATACTACCGTGTTCATCTGTATCGTATAGCGCGGTAGATGAATATGGATGCTGCTTCGTTATCGAGTGGATGCATAGTTGTTCATGTTGATACTACAGTAGTCTTGTTGCTGCCGTGTTGTCAGTGAGGTCTAACAGTAAGGAGTCTTGGGAGGATTAGCTAATGTGTGACGGGCGTATTTCCTTATCATAGAGGTAGTGCAGCTCCCTTCTCTCTCTCTGTGCGTGTTTAATATTTAAAAGTAATGTTTGGGGATAGATTGGTTGTTGTTGCAAGTTTTCATGGTATTATTAGCAGTGTGTGGTTGATTAAGTAGGTAGGTAGGGAATCTAGTGTAGCCTCTAGTGGAACAACTTGCCCAATATTATTTATTGCGAAACCCAATGCAATATCCCTATTTAGTTCAAACTGCCAAGGTTGCGCTCTAATCATGTCCTGGAGGAAAACGTAGTCAACACCTCGAAGTGCTGCTGAAATTCCAAGCCTTGCGTAGGTTCGTCGTAAGCGACTACTACAGGTGCTCAATATTAGAATAACATCTAATGACCTGGTTTAAACACTTCAGTCAAACTAGTCGTAATAACTACCCCAAAGCCCAATGAATTACATTTTTGCATATTAGACGGGTGGATAAAGTATAAAGGAGATCGTATATTCTTCACATTGAAATTCGCAATCCCCATTACGGGCGGCCAGATGATCCAAGCCATTATATCGGTTAGATATCTATAATACAGTGCTAAGCTCATGTAGGGTGGAACTTTTGTTATTTAGCCCCAGTTTATGACGTAGAGAGGCTGAAAGGGGGCTACCACGCTTACCACATCTCAACCTAATAACTTCCCGCTACTCCGTACAGTCTTGAGATGAGAACGTTATCATAAACGAGCTCGCCCCCGGTTCGTCATAGCTTTTCGCATGGCGCTTTCGTAAAGCGGTCTGGACGTCTTGTGCGGCGTACCATGGTATTTTTGTAATTAAAACAGGCGTAGAATCGTCTCGTCATGTGTTTTCAAAAGCTATCAAACAAATGGTCGAATTGCTGAATCATCGACTCGGTATATGGCTCTCTCTTGCCGTCATCCTCCGGATATACATCAAAACATTGTGCGTCGCCGGGATATCGTACGTTAGGCTGGATGGGCGGGCGAATCTGACGGTGATACAGAGCTTGCCAGTCAATGCCGTGGAAAAATGGATGAGATTTGACCTGTTGGGAACCACCGCTGATGTTTCCTAACCGTTTTGAGCGATCTACTGTGCAGAATGACCGGATGATATGCTGCGCATTCGGAGAAATGGGAGGCTCTTGAGGGAAAAGGACCGGCTTCTCAATGATCCTAAAAAAATGTTGACAAGAGACTTAGAGGGCAAGGCAAATGAGGGAACAACATACTGCTTATAAATTTCGATAGGGTTCTGGTGCCAGAACGGGGGATACCCAGTAAGGAACTCGTATATCAGAATCCCTAAGGCCCACCAGTCGACAGCCGTGGTGTGGCCTTTGTTTTGGATGACCTCGGGCGCGAGATATTCAGGAGTTCCGCAAAGAGTGTATGTCTCGACTGGCCTATCATCTTTACTCCCTAGCCTCTTAGCAAAGCCGAAATCCACAAGCTTGACGTGACCTTGGCCGTCCAGCAGTAAATTCTCAGGCTTGAGGTCCCTGTATGCCACACCGCCTTGGTGTTCATGTAAAAATTCGAGCACCAAAACAATTTCAGCCGAGTAGAACTGCGCCCACTCTTCTGGGAATCGGCGATGCCGTCGCAAATAGCTGAACAGTTCACCGCCGGGTATATAGTCAAGCAGCATATAGAGGGAGTCGTAGTCGGAGAAGGTAGTGATTAGCCTCGTAATGAAGGGGTGGCCGGCGACATCGCTGAGGATTCGGCGCTCGTCTCGGACGTGGTCGATTTGCTTAAGCTTGATTACTTCGGTCTTTCGCAAGATTTTCAGGGCAAAAACCTGCTCTTTGTCTTCATCGCTCCCGACAGCTGGACGGACAAGACAGACTCGAGCAAAGGTTCCTGATGAGCGCAACGGACGCCGTCTCCATGTTAGCGACAACAAGTTCTCATCTCAGCAACTAATACCAGCACCAATGTCAGCACCAGCACCGGCACCGGCACCGGCACCGGCACCAGCGCTAGCGCATGCAAAGCGCATCTACCCGATTCGCGCGATCGCCAAAGAAGGAGAGACAAACAAAGAACGGAGAGACGGCACGAAAGCTGAAAGCCAGAACAATCAAGACATACCGGTGCCGAGGGTTCGGACTAGAGCAAAGTCGCTCAATTTCACTCGCTGATGCTGCGGTGGTACTTTGGGCCCCGCACCGTCGCTACATTGGCCTTCTTCGCGCTGCTCAGCCCCGCCAGCAGCGTCCATGGCAGCCATGATGGGGATCGAATTGGGGTCTGGTACTACTCCCGGCGCTGGACCGGGCTTCGGGGCAACGGTTGCGGCCATGCTACGATGATGCCTCACGGCTGTGTAAACTCGGGTCGACCCTGCGCTGTTGCAGAGTCAGCATTGGGAGGCCGGGGGCGAGCGCAATGGCAATGCATCGATGACTAGTTGCCGGAGGGAGGCTTGGTGGGAGGGAGTACATGGCTAGGTTAGCTGCTAATAAGAGGAGGAGGAGGCTGATCAGTGAGGGTGTCAAGGGTGTCAGATCCACATGGAAGCGATGGAGCCCACCAAGATGCTATTGGTAGTCTCTAGCGTACAGAGGCACGTATGCTGCCCTGTACAACCGTCCAGCGCACGACATTGGGAACTGGGAACTGGGACCTGGGGCGCCGGAAGGGGCAATTGGGTCTACATGTAGGTAAGGTACTGTACATACAGCACTGCGGAGTCGAGATCCCAAGGCGTAATACCTGCACCACAGATCTGTAATCCGTCCATCATACCTACCAACCGTGTTTGAAAATGCGATCTGCAGAGCGACGCCAGGTATTAGAACAGGTAGGTACAAGCAACGAAGACACCTACTACCACCGTAGAAGCTGCAACGAAAGCCATGACAGTACGCTACCTAGTGGTACCTACAGTCTAAGATGTACGCCGTAAGCCCAAGGTATACATACCTATAGCTACCTGCATTCGTCGGGTACTTCTGACCTCGATATCACAAGGTAAAAAACGGTTGAACCACCTAGATGGCATGAATGTACTACCAGCTAGCTTACAAGGCCAGGAAGATGAACTGGTCATGGACTTCTCAGCAATGACGTAGGCAGTTGGGCTGGAGAGACATTGTCTTTACCAATAAGTATCTAAGTAGAATTGCTGACTGGGACACAAAAGTCTGGAGAAAGTGGGGGAGTGGAGACCCCAGAGCCTACACTAGGTATGTCCTATGTATAGGTACAGGACACCATACAATACGGGTAGACTAAGTCCCTATCTATTCAACTAAGGTAGGACTCTGTTCCTACCACCGACCTGTGACCTAAGTACTGGAATCTTAACACATCTTCTAATAAGAAATATGGAAACACGGGCTATGGTTGGGTTCTAGATATATAGACAGAATGCCTAACTTGGTATTCTCTCGAGAACGCCTTATATTTGTACTACTCTAAAATATGCCTATTACAATTATACTATCTATCTAGGAGGTGGGCACCTCTTACATAGGAGAAAACTGTGCTACTACTACGAAAAGGCACTCACCCACTCAGCACAAAGGCGATAGAACATGATCAGAGCTAGTAGCATACAGTGATAAAAGACATTGTGACAACTAAAGCTTCGCTAACGTGGGTCTTTCCAGTCAGTATCTTAGGTAGGTACTTAGTACTACCTTACATATTAGGCCAAATGACCTCAAGTAGTAAGTACTTATAAGAAATAGGTATATTGTGGCTATTAAGCTGCGTCTAGCAGAAAATCTGTGTGCTACCTAAGTACTAACATACACCTTTAAAGGAGCACTCGTAGGACATAATACACTTGCAATTCAATATTATCCTTAATATATATTAATTTGACATCACGGCTTACAATATGTACATATCTCTTAGCCTCTACACTGGTCAAGGTTAACACAAAGTTGTATCTTCCACCTTTTATCTGTGGGGCAAGGCTGCAATAGGTACGCTCCACCTCCATGTATAGGCAGAAACCCTTAAACAATTTAGTTTGTAGGTAGGGGGGGTTAGGTGTGTGACATACCTACATAGCAAATGGCGAAAAAATCGTGGTGATGAAGTTGGTTAGCTCAAGCAATACTACCTATAGGAAGGTAGATAATTTGTTATGTTAGGGCTTATAGGACTATACTATATCTACCTACATACCAATGTGCCTAGCAAA